TTAATTTCGATATTTAAAAATGATTTTTGATATTTGAAATAATTTCAATATTCGTTTGAATATTTTTTAAAAAACTTTCAAATATTTGAAATTCAATTTGAATTTTAAACAGAAACTCTACTAAATGCTATTTCAAAATAATCTTCGTAATCATTATATCATAAAAATATAGATCTGTGATAGAATTGTAAATCTAAATTATCCCAGTAACATTGATAAAATTTTGTGATCACATGATGATAGGTCTGCATTATACATAACCCTAACTCTAAATTTAAAAGATATGATAGTATGATGTAACAAATATGATTTTATACTTAAAATAATTATAAATCTCTCAAATAAATAGTAAAAATGTATCAAGGCAAGGTGTGATAGGTATGATAAATAGATAAATAATAACTATTTTAAGAGCACCCTGAAAAATTCTGCTATCAGCAATCATCTTATTGATCATTTCTTAAATTGATATTATAACTTTATCAAAAAAGCTGATTTTTTGATATAGCCTAACACAAATTTTATATAACTTATAAAATTACATCTTTTTAATGTATTTTTGCCTACTCCTGTAAGTTCACTTAAAACAAAAAGATGATTTTAAATGCAATTTTTGACTTTTTATATATTATTATGTAAATAATTAATTTTCTAAAAAAAATGCCATTTAAAACCTTCTTTAGAATCCTAATCAAACTTGTAAAGCAAGCAAAATTATAATATAAGATATGATTTTAGAAGCTGTATACAGTTTATACTAAGTTATATTCAAAAAATAAAAAAAATAAAAATTTTCGTTAAATTTAGGCTATACATATTAGTAAATGATCGACAAGATGACAGAGTTATAAATTATTGCATTTCACGTGATCGCGAAATTTGTCAATGTAAAAAAAAGGCAAAGTTTCAGATCGAACCTTAACCTTGATTAGGCTAGTTCAAAGTTGGTCGATTGGCATTTTTGATCGCAAATTCTATTGGTTTGTGTAACCCGAACAGACGCGATCAACCAATAACGTTGATCGTTTTGTTCGATCGACCATCCCAACCAAACTTTGAACAGGCCTAATAGAGATCGGAATAGAACAAATAGTGATGATTCTGACTATGTTGCTAATTCATTTACAAAAATAATGATTTTGTTTATTTTAAATATAGCAAATTCTAATTTTTATAAAATATTCCCAATTGATTGGTTCGTTTAGACAAGTGTTAATGAACTAAAGGTGGTGTAAGTTTGATATTTTTGTTTACTGCACAAGGCATATAAAAATCGCTCATTAACCAAGTCCTATAATTTGCGGAAGATAAAGATATTTAAACGTTGACTAAATATCACATGCGTTAATTGACGCTAATTCGAAAGTAATTGTCCGGAGCAAGCGTATTGTAGAATTACGTCACCGTCATCATGCTATATGATCATATGATATAATGCGCCGATTTCGTTTTCAACGAAATCTGAATATTTTTATAGATATTATAATGTAAATATATATATACAGTAAGATAATTAAGCGTGTATGTCAAAAAAAAAAAGATGAAATCAAGTTTCAATAACGAAAATTCTTGTTTAGATATTATTGGGCATTAGGATTTGTTCGGGAAGGTCCGGATGACTCATCTAAATTACGCGAAAAAGTTGTTCATATTTAATAGAAAAGTACAATGAAATGTAAAGCATGTGAATTGATTCATAAATGGTTTTGACTTTTTATAACAAAAAAAAATTTTTTGGACTGCATGAAGGCTGAAAAAAAAATCGGTTGAACTTTTGATCGAATTCACGTGACTGCTGATCTGTAACTGAAATTTTAAATATTTTTTTTTTTTAATCAATCAGATGATGCCCGATCTTCGTTTTTTTTCTTGCCTTTGGCCTTTCGATTTATTTATTATAACATATAATATTTTTCAAATAGTGTTGTGAATTCCTTTATAGTCAATCATGGAATTAAGGAAATCGGTCGTTTTTGGTATATGTGCCGTTGCGGTATTTGGTATTGGCTATGCTGTATACTGGGACTATCTGCGACAAACTGACCCAGAATTTCGAAGGAAATTGAGTTAGTATAACATCCTTAAAATTCTCATTAATGAGTAATTTAATCGCATTAATTATAATAGTTTTCGATCTGAAAACTTTCGTTTGATAATGTATTTGACTTTGGATTTTGAACTTTTTTAGAAAAGAGTAGGAAAAAAGCAGCAAAACAAAAAAAGGCAGCTGTAGAAGAATCAAAATCAAAAACCGCCGATTTTATTCGAGGAGCTGTTGAAGAAGTTACCAAGGAAAGTTTTCCAACTGATGTCACTGCTAAAGAAAAATTCTTCATGGAGCAAGTGGCTAAGGGCGAAACTTTATTCGCTGGAGGTGAATATATATGCTAGCTTAATATTATTTGTTTCCTTTAAACCCTTAAGAATAACTAATTTTCTTTTGAAATCTTAGGTGAATCTGGCTATCACGATGCTGCTCTCTGTTTCTATAAAGCATTGAAAGTTTATCCAAATCCAGTAGAATTGATTATGATATACCAAAAAACCATTCCTGAGCCCGTTTTTAATTTGGTTTATGAAATGATGAGCGTTGAGGTAGAAAAATCAAAGTCTCATTAAATTAATATATTTTTTGTTAATGTTCTACTATTATATTGTTTGTTAATGGTGAATAAATGTAATTTATTGTAGGTAAAGAAAAAGCAAGCGGAATATTTCGGAAATTTTCCACCAAAAGAAATGAATGTCAGGATTGAAGAATTCAGTCAAAGTTCAACATCTGATGATTACATTCGTCGCGTTCTGATTTCTACAAAGGATTTCGCACCCGGTGATGTCATATTTACTGAACAAGCTCTTGCTTCTGCATTAGATCCAAGTCTTGAAGTATGTATTTTTTTAATCTTTCAGCACTTTTATTGTGAATTCGTTCAATTAAGAAACTTCAACCCATACTTGTGTTGATACAATTGTTTCAATATTTTCATTGGTTTATACCCCACTAATTTATATGGTATCGCAAATACTATAATTAGTTGATATACATGTCAAGCGTTTTAATATTAAATTTCCCATATTAGATATGTTGTTGAACCTAGTTATATGCTTTTAATTGTACGAAAGGGGATATATTATTGATTTTGGCAGTTTTGCTATTAAAATCACGTTATGGATCATATGATTACTATTTCTCGTGACTCGATTTTAATAGCAACCAACTCATACATTGAATGATATTTAGTTTATCTTTTTACTTTTTTTTTTGATCTCATTTAAATTTATTATTCAAAATTATAGAACGGTGAATTTTGCAGTCATTGTCTCAAGGAATTGAATGGTGCTGATTTCAGCGATGATAGTGATCTATTTGGTGCTGTTTATTGCTCCAAATCATGCCAAGAGAAGGCAATGGCAGAATATGAAACTCTCCTTTTCACAACCAGAGATGATGATTCTTATAGTAACGAAGCTAAATTAAAGGAATTAGTTAAATCAGGAAGAGTTAAATATCCTTTAATGATTGCTCGATTCTTGGCTAAAATGGTACACGAAGAGACACAGAAAGTTGCTACTGGTGTTGAAGAAGAATATAGCACTTGGGATCATATTGAACGACTAAGATTCTTGGCTGTTCAACCTTCCGATAAAGAGTCCAAGGAGATTACATTGTTGAGAGAACTATTTAAAACGAAGGTACCTGGTATGGAAGAATTCATTTCCGAGGAAAGGTATTTAATGTTAAAAGGTAAACTCATGTATAATGCTTATGGAATATATACTGAACATAATATGGGAGCCATAAAAGAGGTATTTATAATTGTTTGTTATTAATCATCAAAATTTCATGTAATTTTATTTACACATTCATACTTTACCTGATATTAATTACAGAATTTGGAAGAAACTATGCGTAGCAGTCAACCAACCGTTATTGGTGCCGGTTTCTACCGTGTTGCTTCATACATTGCTCATAGTTGTAACCCAAATACAGAAACAAGATTCCCCGATAATAATAATGTCTTATCTATTGTTGCTACTAAACCTATCAAGGTTGGAGACGAATTGAAAATCAGCTATATCCGAGTTGGAGATAGAAATTATAGTAATAGAAGAAGTGAATTGGAAACAAAATGGCGATTTAAATGTACATGTATTAAATGTATGGAAGAAGCAGGAGAAGTTGGTAGATCTGCTTGAAATGCGACTTTACATTATAAAACAAACAACCTATTTTAACCTATTTTTACAATTACAATTTGGTAAATATTGAGAATTAATAACATTATAATAATTGCTTGAAATTACCCGAAAAAAGGATAACAAAAAATTAGAAAAATAAATTAAAGAGATTAGAATTTTTTTTTATATATATATATATATTATATAGGTAAAGAAGCAAGTTCAAAGTTAGTATAAACAGAATGAACAAATCATTAAAACAAAATCATCAATTATTTAGTATAAATAAACTAAATTACTTGTAATATTACATTTTAAAATTGGAACAAATTAAAGAATTTCTCAGGTAACCTCTATTCTCACGCTTTAATTTATTTAAGTCTTAACTTTATAGCAAGTGCAGATTAAAATTACGATATATTATATATATATATGTGAATATATAATCATTTAACGAATAAATTTGAGGATAAAGATATGGTTTCTAGGTGTTAATGAAGTACAAAATTTAAGAAATACTCGCGATAACAAAACCAACAAAAATTTCCATCAAAACTAAGAGCTGACTACCATGAATCATAAAAAATCCAATAAAGTAAATATCCATAAAAAAAAAAAAAAAAAAGAAAAAAGGCGTATATAAAACAATCTAAATATCCAAGTCAAAAAAAAATATTTGATATTAAACAATAAATTCAATTGAATGATAAAAAAAAGAATATCAAAAAAAACTTTACCTGTATTATCAATATTTGCCTTTTTCCAAAATAGCTCATCGGTGTAAAAAAAAAAAAAAAACGCGTTAAATTTAACGCGTTTCCTTAATTCAATTCATCAATAGTAAATTCATCAAGATACAATTTAGAATTGGATTTTCTGTTTTCATGTTTTGTGTTGAGGTTCAAGTTATCAACGGTATATTGAAGATATTCTTGGTAAGTAATAATACACTTTACGCTTTGATAACGCGTAAGTACTATACGACTTCGAATCCTATCCGTGATTCGACCATTGAAACCGCTCTTGCGAAGACAGGAGTCAATAGTTTCTTCTTTGGTCCAGCCTAAAGCGATGAACATATTAACTACATTATTTCATCTAACTTGCATATTAAATTTAAAATACCTTGCTCTTCTGCAACCTCAGGTAAAAAAGTAGCAGTTCTACGACGGTTATGATCATCAACGAATTCCATCCAAATACCATGGACACCGATCTAAATGAAAATCGATCTTTATCTTTTCTACTGTGAAGCTCTATAAAGACTATAGATTTTTTACCTCCCAGTCAAGATAATCTTCGGCGTCCTCAAAGTTTGTCAACAATGATACCCTGTTATTAAGAAATTTTATTAAATCCATTCATTATATGCATAATATAATATACAATATTCAAGAACTAACCCGCAAGTGAGATGGGACAGTTCTCGGATAGTGATGGGCGAAAACCTCCTATCGTGAATCGCACTAATTAAATAACAAAAAAGGAACAGTACCCAATTCCAATTCAAGTGGGATATAAAAATATCAGTAATAGATTCAAAGGACCAAACATACTTTATAATCCAATATAAATTGAACGTTCTCATATATTAAAGTCAACATTTTATTTCCTTTAAAATCATTTCAACTATTATTCAAAGACTATATTAGATAAATATTTCAACGTCGAATTTATATAAATTACCTAGTAATAGCATATTCTTTCAATCCAGAATGAAGAGATAAAGGTTCAAAATTACCAATGCAACCGCGCAGACGAGTTTGCCCATGATGGACAATATTCCAAGAAACAAAGAGCGGGCTTGAAAAAAGGGGTAGTTTGAAGTTATATAATGGGCATCGCACTTGCATTGCATGCCAAAAAAGAACAATTTCTAAATGTGAAAATGCAAAATTAAATAATTTGAATATAAGGAAACTTACAACTGGAGGTTCTCGAATTCTGGTTCCAAAGGCTTTCTTCCTTCAAGGTAAGCGACAAGAACATCGAAACAATAAACACAATGTTCAATACTGGCAACCATTTCTACAGGGCTTTTGAACAAAGCCTATTTTGGCTTCACGAAAGTTGAGTATAATTGAGACTACTGAAAAGCTCGGACGCTGCTGAGCGCTTTTAAACGTGACGCCAAAGAAATATTTGATATTTCGCGGGATAATTGTGTTTGGACAACAGCGAACGAGCGAGCTTTACGAGATATTGTGAGTAATTTTGCTTGAAAACGTGAAAACAAGGAGAAGGTGTAACTAATGATGCTTCTACATATGGATTTATAGTTGAATGGATCCCCGAGACTGATACTCGATAGGTAATTAGGAATCCACGTGTATATGTGTGTGTATGTAGAAATAAAGATCACATGAATACAAATACTGCTTGGGATCGAATGTTAGAAATCGAAAAAACGTTTTTTTTCGGTGATTTAATCGATTTATTTATGGCGCAGAGATTTATTTGATGGTTTTACAATGATTTTTGTCGGGTTTGGTTAGTCTTGGATAAAATATTCCCTCGAAGTTGTAAACCCTATATATATGACGTTTCTAAATGAATTGATAATCGATTTTTTTTAAACTCCCTATTACTGTTATACTGCATTTTGCTTAATTCGATGTTAGTAGAACCTTCTTATTTTCAACAATGTTTCGATTATTTCTACTAATTACATTATTAGTCTTAGTAAATAAAGTAGAATCAATATCCCGACAGAGACATACTTTTTTTTTTGAGAATAATGCTTTTGACGCGTTCACAAAGGATACAATACAAATTTTCGGAAACCATTCTGTTAGAGTTGATAATTTTACAGGAATACGGGAGTTGAAGGTTAAAACAACGCCTGAAGAGCTTGTAAAGGTAGTAAAAGGCTGCTATTATTTAGCTTTAAGTTCAAGTGACAATATAGTTGCCCTTCTTTCTTTGACGGCCAGTTACTGGAATATTATCTTTTAATAGTCAGTAATACCACTAGAGTTTCCCGCATGGAGTAACAATTGGACATTACGCGTTCAAATCGCGTCGGGAACTCAAGCCCTTTTTCACCCTTTCAATACTGCTCCTGTACCTGGAATTCATATTGGTATCTCTTTAGATAACAAGACATTTGCTGAAAGGTATTTTATAACGTGTATATGCAATTTCGATTCAAATGAATTTAACCTTGTAATATGTTCTAGGCTAGACTATAAGAATGCAGATTTTTTGGTCGTATGCAAATACATTGAAGCATTACTTGGTGAAATATTATGTAATAATGAAAAATCATTGAACCGTATGGTATGTCTAAAAGAAAATAAAATAAAAATAAATGATATAAGCTGAAAAAATTTGTCTTTATTCCAAAAAAGCACATTATAGATCTTTCGAATTCAATTACCCTTCCTGGTGGAAATATTTATTATTATTCATCAATCCCATTTTATCAAACACCTAGTCCATCTTCTATATTAGGAAGAGAGTCTTATTCTAAAGAGCATCGTCGCCCGATCATAATAGATCTTCATTTAGCTTTTGATAAAAAGACAAACCAAACTAAGGCAGATTTAAGAATGATTTGGAAGTATCGAAATCAAGATATAAAAGTTAATAATCAGGATAATCAAGAAGATATAGTTGAACTGGGAGTTTTTGGTCCACCATTAGATTCAGATTCCTTTATTGGCCCAAGAGTTGTATTTGGAGATAATGATAATCCTAGTGCGTATTAAATTTATATTTAAATTTAACAATAATGTTTATTATATTTTTACAACCCATGCTAAAAAATTTTCTATTCTGTTAATGTTGCGAAAATCGATTTTTTCAATAGAACCAACAATGTTAAGTGTTTTCTCCAGAACACTTGTAGATTCATTTTTTAATTCAAGCATATCTCCCTCTCAAAGTTTTCATCCACATTTTAATACATTAATTAAATATTCAACAATTGAAGATAAGTGTAAAGATCACATAGTTTATACATTACCAAATTCTTTTTTTGTAGATATATACCAACTTAAGGATATGTTCTCAGATGAACAAATTAAAGTTTGGGGAGAAACGGATTTGGAAAGTCCCGTTGGAATGACTTCATTAAAATGGGGTAGCTTAGTTTTAATTACGAAACAAAATTCGGAGGATGTTGATAATTTTGAATTTAATTTACCACTTCACATGAGATATCAACCAGCCATTTCTGGAAATAAACAAAAAAATCATGTAATTACGGCGGCACCGTGGCCGTTTGTTATACGAGTTTGTGAAAATGATGTGCCAGGTATTATTAATTTCTAAAAGAAAATTGATTTATTAAAATTAATTCTTTTCTGATATTTTATTTTTATTTTATTTTATTTTTATTATTATTTTTTTTTTTTGAGCAGAGCCATTATATGCGCCTACACCACTTCCTTTATCTCTCTTATTTCCATCAACATCAGAGATAAAATACATTTTTCCACAAGAAGAATTGTTACAACATAATTTTTGGCCAAAAGTAGTAGTTGGAGTTCCTGTAGGCCAATTAAGTTATTTAAAACTCGTTGAATGGTGGACAATTTTAACTTCCTTAATGGGTTGTGTTTGGATTATATGGACTATTAAAAAGAAAGTATCTCAATGGAAATATGAAGGAGATAATAATAAAATTGATTAAATTAGTTAGATACCGATTTTGGAGTATTCCTCCTCTAATTCCTCTTCATCGCATATTAGATTACATTCTTTCCACGACTATTTGCGACTACTTCTCTTTCTTCATGATATGACCTTTAATATTTTAATAAGTCTTCATTCTATATTTATCTGATTACTGTTATAAATTTCTTTAAAAATAATAAATAAACAAATATGTTTTAGTCAATAATACGTTATGGCATTTAAATATTTTATAGTAGATAAGCTTACAAGTTGGCTTTGTTTAGGCTCGATTCGAAATGGTTTATAATCTGATAAAATAAATTTAGCCAGCTTTTTGTTCATTAATTAAATTTTTTACTTTAAAGAAAATGCTTCTCAAATATTTCTAAAGTATTTCCTTTGAATAAAAAACATTTTTAAATTTTCTTAACATATTTAATATAAATATTTTTTAGTAATACTATTATTAAATCAATTTATTAAAATAATAAGATAGTAATTATTTTTTTTTATTTATTAAATATATATATATATCTTTTCTGATCTTAAAATAAGTGTATTAAAAATAAACTAATTTAATTAATACATTTTAGTTTATTAAATAATAAAATTCATAAAAATCATTTAAATAATTAAGGCAAAGTAAACTACTATATTTAAAATTTAATATCAAATTTATTATCCTTTAAATAATAATAATTTTTATTAAAATATTATTAAAAAAAAATTGTTTAATTTTATTAAAATATATTATAAAATTATTATAAAATTATTATTTTTATATAAAATTTCTGTCTTAAATGTATAATTTTAATAATTATAAAAAATATATAATTTTTTATTTATTTAATAACAATAAAACAGTATTGGAAATTAGACAATTTTGAATAATTTTGGACAGGTTTTAGACATAATTTCATATGTCTAAAATCTTGTCCAAAATTAAAAATATGTCAAAAACCTATCACTGCTAAAGATGGTACAGCAATTGATTTCAAATTTACAAAATGTTGCAACATAAGCTAAAATTAGTTGCAACATATGTT